TCGATGCTGTTTCTGAGCTCTGTTTTCACTAACTATCCTCACTGTCATATCACAGATAAGACTTCACTTTCTTTACTCCTATTTCTGTTTTTCATTATTTCTAATAGTTGAGGTCTAGTTCTAGGACTAATAGTGGTCATAGTCAGTTATTTCTTGGTGAGTTCCAGTCACCAGAATTTCCCCTAGTGGGTCCACGTAGCACTGTTGATCACCAAATCTGTAGAGTGTGAATGAGGTACCTGTCAGTCCATGTGACTTCATGTTTGTTTGTTTGTTTGTAATAAGTCAGTGTGAACAGGCTACAATGGATCAATGGATCAACAATTTGTTTTAGTATCAAAATTGGGTTTATTGCCAAGCAGGTTTTCACATACACGGAATTTGCTTTGGTATTTTGATGCATAACAATAAACATATTAAGAGATTACACAAAGTATAAATATAAAGATCGCATCCTGGAGACACCTTTAGAAGAGAGAGATCTGATGTTTGAGTCCACATTTAACTCTCCTATTCGTTTGCACTATTGCTCTTGTGGTTTTAATTTTTATGAGGTTTTTATGCACAGCTCCTCTTCTGTTTACCTTTTTAAATAATTTCGATGGTCGGGGGGCAGACACCATCACTATAGGATTTTCACTAAGTAACTCCTGAAATGGAGGAGCAGAGAAGTGTGTTAGACTGCGACTCTGCGTAGGGTTTTGGGTGGGTAACTGCTGAATTAGAAGGGCAGAGAAGTGTGTTAGACTGCGACTCCTGGTCTCAACTCTGGGTTGTCATGGATTTGGTCCACTAATAAACTTGGCCAGATTTCTAGAAATGAGAGCTGCTCCTTCCCAAGTGGGATGGATGCCGTCTCTCCGGATCAGACCAGGTCTTCCCCAGAAAGTCTGCCAATGATCTACAAAACCCACATCGTTTGCTGGACACCACCTCCACAACCAGCGGCGGAATGACGACATGAGGCTATACATGTCATCACTGGTCAGATTTGGCAGGGGTCCAGAGAAAACTACGGTGTCCGACATTGTTTTTGCGTATGTACACACCGACTCAACATTAATCTTAGTGACCTCTGATTGGCGTAACCGGGAGTCATTACCGCCGACGTGAATAACAATCTTACTGTATTTACGTTTATCCTTAGCCAGCAGTTTCAAATAAGACTCAATGTCGCCCGCTCTGGCCCCAGGGATGCACTTAACTATGGCCGCTGGCTTCGCTAACTTCACGTTTCTCAAAATGGAGCTGCCAATGATCAGAGTTGGTTTCTCAGCGGGTGTGTCGCTGAGTGGGGAAAATCTGTTAGAAACGTGAACAGGTTGGTGGTGCCCCGTGGACTCAGGCCGTTCCGCACCGACTACCGGGGACTGGCTAGCTACAGTAGCTAAAGACTGATCTACCAAGGTTCTAAATCACTGAGCCTCGCCTCCATGTCTACAAATAAACTACACTTATTACACGTACCATTGCCGCTAAAGGAGGCAGAGGAGTAACTGAACATCTGACACACCGAGCAGGAGAAAGTAGGAGAGCAAGAGAGAGAGGGAGAAGCTAGCTGCTAAGCTAAAGTCGCTAAACGGAAATGAGTCGACACGCTTACCACAGTACGTCAGCAAACCTCGTCAACCTCGTTTGTTGATGCGCTGGGTTTGACATTAACCACATCATTTTGACTGTTTTCTGAGTTTTGTCCTACTTTTAGACTAATCAACTGGTTAAAATTTAATTGTCTGTTACCTTTTTACTACATATGTTGAACTCTACTGACAGTGCTTGTATAAGCAGCCGGTAGCTTCTTGAAACTTCGCTACACTTTTGTTTTTTATCTGTTTTTTCTGGCTTTATTTCCAAAACATGCATTACCTCTGACATAAAATACATTTCGTTGGAAGATGAAAACGGGGGTTTTTGATGAAAGAGCAGTAGACCACGATCCACCCGGCCCAAACGACCAGGCACCATGGTGCGTGCGGTGATCGCTCAGAGAGGAAAGAGAGCCAGCAGAGGAGCCATGCTGGCCCAACTTTGACTTCATTCTGCTCCTAAAGATCTGGTCTGGACAAAATGGCACTCATGTTGACCAAGCAACGGAATTCGACACTGTCCACATCGTTACAGAGACCTGATCAAGCACTCAGCAGTTGGTCCATGTTCTGAGCTGTCAGCGCAAGACTCCGGCAAGATGAGAGGACTCTCTGGTGCACAAATGCAGTCAAGATGGACTCTGTTCTCAGACTTTTTAATGTGAAGATGAAACTTTCATGATATCATCTGGTTGTTGCTGTTTAAATTCACCCCAGATGCAAATTAAAAAAATGCACTGTTGTTGGAATGTTTGGGGTTTATGCGTGTATGTATATATGTATATAAATAACTGTATTGTTTAATTTTATTTTATGTTACCATATTTTAATACTACACTACCTACACTTAATTAAATGTTGAGTGTGTAGCAGGAAGGAACTGCAAATTTTGTTTCGTTACGCAGCCTTATATAATAACTAATAAACAACCTTCTACCTTGTCTCGTACTCCTGATTTTATAATTATCTATAGCATCCTCTGTTGTTGCACAATATTACAAAGAGTATTGTAATTTCTGTAATTTTCTGCACAACGGTATGTGTATCTAATATTCTATTTCATTTTTTCCCCTTTCTTTTTAATTGTAGGTTTAATGCATGTTCATAATAAACTGGTTGACCCAGTGCTCAGCATAAAGGACCAGTAAAACATAGAAGATCACCAAGGAATCTAACTGAAGACATCAAGTTGGTCAAAGATCATGATGTAATCATGAAATGGCTGCACTCATCAACAGTGAAGATTGTCCCTCTGAGGTTCTTTGTTGCTTTTAAAGGTGTATTACAGTACCAGGTGACTTGTTTTAATCACAGCTGTTGGTCGCAGCCCTCTTCATTTTTGTTTAGTGTGAGAAACTAGATTTGACAGTAAATAAAAAGCCTCCATTTTGTTTGGTTTGTGAAGTGAACCCAGACTGTCTGTCCTCTGTAATTGAAACAGTACTGTATATTTTTAATGTGACTGTCATGCTTTGGTTTTTCATCAATGATTAATCCCGCAATTAGTGATTAGCCAGAGGAACCAAATGCTATGTGTATTGGTAATATCCCTTAAACCAATGAGCAATTTTGGAAGTTACTTAAAAACAAATGAATGTCATCAAAACTGACCTTTGACTTTAGTCCAAACAGTTGCTTGTGTATAGGTTTGACGTTTATGTATCCAGGAAATGTGAACGGTGTGGTCCTTTCAGCAGCTCCTTGCTTCTCCTTCATTTACAGTCACACTAGTAGCGGCACAGCACAGTGTGACTACAAGACTGGAGACTAGGTCAGAGCACTACATTTTACTTGAATATTGTTTAATGTCAAAAACATATTTAGGTTCATTTAATAGCTTAGTGAAACTAAACAACCACTAGACAAATGCATTGGTCAATACAGAATGGCCAAATCTTCAGGCCAGTTTACCTACATTCGAAAGAATAAGGGACACACACCTTCAATGACAACAATGTCCATATTCTGGAAAAGTGGTTTGAAAGAACTCTCAACAGGGGAGGAGGTCTGTGACACCTACAATGCTGTCCTATCATGTTTTCCTAGTAGCGTGAAAAAATCCTCACATTTGGCCTCGTTACAATGCCAATGACGGTCGTTCAGACTTTGCCTCAGGTGCTTCCAACAAGTGTTGTCACAACAGGCAGGAGCACCAACGAACCAGGCGATATCCACCACCTAGCGAGCTGAAGAAGACTATTGGATGAATTATCTTCAATCAGTCCAGTTGCCTTTGAGTTGAGCCTTCCCTGGATAACTGACCTAGGTGACCTAGTCTTCACAGACATCTTCAGTCATATGAGAACAGGTGGTTGTTTATGAAAGGACATGATACCTGTAGAACCTGTGTGTATGGTGTTCATCCAGTCTCTGAAGACTGAGATGTGGTTGATGGCTTCTTAGTGAGCCTGGAGTTGGAATTACTTTGTCACACATAGTGATTCTAAGGTTAACTTCAAAACACTGCTTAGATTTGTGCAGTGCTTTTCTTGCAAGCGTCAGTGCTAAGCAGCTGAGCTTCACAAGGTGTTATTTATAATATATAATGTTACATAATTTATAATATTTTTAATGAGGTTCCATGACTACCCTTTAAATGGTGAACTGCTGTAGTAAGTCAGTACTGTTGTAAGTTCAGACAAAGTGTAACATAGACCTTGATGACATCAAATCAAGTGACTATCAAATTAGTGTCAAAGTTACTGTCAAATGCAATCTAGTCACTAATCTCACTCATTTATAGTCATTACCCTTTGGCAGCCTTTTACGTTTTTATGTTGAGATGCAGTTCCATTGGTTTTGCACAGTGGGGCAGTCATTCCAAAGATTTGAAACCAGTGGCAACCCATGTGTACTCATGAGTAGGGCTGGACAATTTCACCTAAAATCAAAATCACCATTAATTGATCACCTCGATTTTACCTTATTTGTTGTTTTTTTGCTCTTATAGTTCACTGACAAGGATTGTACTGTAAATATGTAATTTTTTAAAAGCTGGGTATGTTTATTTTTTTGATTAACAGATTTAAAAAATTGATTATCTAAATTTTAATTGATAATGTAATGTTGACGTGCACATTGAATTATAAGTGCTGCTACCAAAATTTCACTCAGTCATTAATGTCAATGCGAAACTACTTACTTTCACCCGCACACTGCAAGCACAGTAACACACGCTTTGCTAGCTTCCTCTCATTCATCAAAGGACATCTAAGGTCTTTTAAAGAGTGCAGTGTGTGTTCACAGAGAGTGAGTGGTGGAGTGAATGAGAGAGAGCGAGCAACAGAAAGTGATGGAAAAAGCAAGCAAATTTGTTGTCAGTCTGGCAGTAAATGTACAGTGTAGGTCACAGTGATTGACAGTCCGTTAATAAAGTGATTGAAGGTGATTGGTTGCGATCTTCCATCACTTCAGGACCTTCAGGACGCCTCCAGGGCTCAGAGGCAAGCAGGAAAGACTGGCTGACTCCTCCCATCCCGGTCACAAACTGTTTCAGACTCTCCCCTCTGGCAGGAGGCTGCGGTCCATCAGGACCAAAACATCTCACCACAAAAACAGCTTCTACCCATCTGCAGCTAGCCTCATTAACAAGGCCCAGGTCCCCCACTGACACTCCCCCCTTTTAAATAACGGAAATGTCTCTGCACATCTAAATTTTACTTCATTTCATATTGTGCACAAACTGTTGTTCTATATTTTAATATTTTGTCAATTTATATATTCTCTTCCGCTGCACCATGTCTGCACAACACAAAATGGAGTAATGCACATGTAAATATCTGCCACATTGTTCCTTCTCTGCAAGTAGTTTTTCTCTATTCTTTTTATTATTCCTTTGTAACTTCCATTTGTTAATTCCATATTTATATATTTCTACATTTATTTATGTCAACTGTATGTTTGTCTGCGTGTAGCACCTTATCACCAAAGCAAATTCCTCGTATGTGTAAAACACTACTTGGCAGTAAAGCTCCTTCTGATTCTGATATTAAAATTAAAAGGCAAACTTCTTCCCTTGTTGATCAAGTATTAAAATGTCAGCTACTTTTTTGAGTTTAAGTTGTGTTTTAAAACATAGTGCTTGTTGAGTGGAACTTTAACTAAAACTCGTACAGCATTCTTTTTAAGCCACGATAGAGCTCTTTCATAGAGAAACCACACATAGAGAAATCACACAACAGAGAGCTCTTTAACTGTACATGGGTTTTGAAAGTTACGTCATTGTACAATTTAAACAGATTGTAGTAAAAAGTTTCCAATCCTTGTCAAATGTAATTTAATTGCTGAACAGGAAGTTTATTTTGGCCTGTGTAGGTTTTACATTTTTATAAAGTTGCACTGGTAAATACAATTGCCAATTTTGCATGTTGTGTTTATTGTATGTATAAACACTGTAAGTCTCTGAGGTTGTTTATTAATAAAGGAGACATTTATACTTGTGCTCACTTGGCTGTCTGCTATTTGCAGTAGTTGTGTGCTGCAGTGCATTTATGAAGAGTGAAGAAGAGGCAACTTTAGAATAGGGAACATATTATGAATTACAAAGACTTCATTAGTCTACTTTAGTTAGTTTAGTTATTTGTACACTATTAACACTTGTAGTTGTGTGTTTTGTTACATAAGAATAAACCACATTTATTCAGTGTTATTAATGGAGAATGGCTGTTCCTGGTGTACTACCACCTTATAAGGCCCCTACTGAGCATTGCCTATTGAGATCATAATTCATGTACAACAAATTCTTAACTTACTATTCATAAGCAGTAATTAGGGGGTTTTATTGGATTAAGTCTTAGTTAATGGTGTAGTAATGGTAGAACATGGGCATGCAGAATAAGGTGTTAATAAGTGTTTCATGCTGCCTGCTGGGTTCTGTGATGTGTGGATATGAATTTAAAAAAAAGATAGTGGTGCAATGGTGACATAACCGTCATTTCTGGACATCAGTAACACCTTTATCTATGACTGAGTAATTTACTTTTGGTCACAAAAATTACTACCTTTACATTTCTGGATCATCAACATTGGAGGCATAATACATGTCAGTAATAATTTACCTCTAACAGCACAATTTGTTCACTATCAATAGTTGTAAGCAGTATTATGGAGCTGTATTCATTAATAGCTTTGAGCCAATGTCCTACACAACATAAACAGTTCACCTGAAGCTCCACTATTTCCTTCTATCCAGAGACATCACATGGGTATGTGTTCTATTTTAATGCTGTGTAATCCAGCGGCACAGTGGTGCCCACTGTGTGTTGCATCTACATGCTGTTCTCGCCTCCCATACACACACCGTCCTGCTGTAAATAGGAAGATTGCCAAAAATATCATATAACTAGTTCTTTATGGTAAGTGGTGGTACAGTGTGGATGGTTGTGTGTGGTGTTGTGTGTGATCTGTCAAGTTTAAAGCTTCAACTCTGATACTACTGTAAGTGGTAGCAGAAGCAGAAGCACCTTTTTAAATCTAACATAATTGCATAATTGTAATTGCTATTATTCATCCCTGAAGGAAAACTGTCATGTTTGCAGTAGCAGCAATTTACATAAAATAAAATCACAGGTACGAATACCGACTACTATACATAAACAGGGTAAAGAAAAGGTTTAAGATACATCTCTCTGACTGTATCTGTGTGAATGAGTGTAGAATGTGCCTTGTAATTCAGAAGAAATAAGGCTTCATTCAGACTGCAGTCACAGTGACCCTAATCAGATTATTTTGCTCTTATGTGACTTTTCCAGTTCAGATTTCAGGCCCCTTTCATATGTGATCCAAATCAGATACAGGTTGGTTTTTTTGTTAATGTGATCTCTGTCTTCTTTTTCTTTTTCCTTTATTTATGCTTTATTGACAAACAGCATGGTGAACAAAAAACACACAAGATCAGACAATACTAGGAGAGCATAAGGCTGACAGGAATAATTTTTTTAAAATAATAAATGAAAAGGGATCACAAATCAGCACTGAAAAATTTTAAACAGGGTTAATAGATGCATGGTCTTGATAGCTTTCCTGTAGTATAGGATTGCTGTAATGTTTTATTTGACTTCATTTTCAAAAATGGCAAAGGAAGGTTTATGATTGGAAAACAGATTTATGAATATGTGATTTTGCAAGCAATAACATCAAATTGATGATATAGAAATAATTTGCCTTGGTAGAAGGGTATGTAAAAAGCCGAACAATTCCTTGTTATAGGAAATGCAAATTCAGAGTCAATACATTGGGAGATAAATGTACAGATACATTATCTTGCCAAAAACTTCAAAAGTGGAGACAAGTCCAAAATAAATGATACAGGGGCCGGTTTCACAAAGCTATTTTAGACTGGTCTAAAATTTGCTTATAGACTAGTCTAATGCAAGTTAGACTTTTTCACACAAAAAAAGACTGTTTAGAAGTTTAGACCAAAGAAATTAGACATAGATGTTACCTTGGTAACCACTTAACAGTCAGTTACATTACAAAGAGCCCTGCCTCCTCCCGTTTTAGGACCATCCAACGCTTATCCTGCGTTTAATAAACTATTTTTATTGATCATATTTTAATGTGGGCTACAAATACCTTGGAGGGATAATAGCAATGCAACATTTTAAAAGAAAAAAGTCGGTATAGATTTTACTGTAGATGATGAATGGCAGACAATCCTTCATCTCTTCACTTCATCACAAAAATCTTTTGGTTTCAGTAATAACTCTATTAATGCTGAGTTTTTGAATAGAGTATTGTAGGATCATTGTAATTGGATGATACGCAGTGTTTTGCTCTTTTCTCCAACCATTTTCACCATGACCACACAAAGGCTCGCTCTGCTTTTGCTCTGTATATTTAATTTAAGCAATTTTGCTGTACAATTAAATCATGTTTGTCATTTTCTGATAGATTTTCAGGAATAACCTGAAAAACAGCAGTTATTCTGTTACTTACTTTTGTTTCTTCCGTTTTGAACAAAAAAGACCTTTACGCTCTTAAGAATTTTGACACCTGACAGCTGACTTCAATTGACCAATTCCATTTTTTTGTTTATATATATATATATATATATATATATATATATATATGACCTTGCTCAAAAGGCCACAAAAAAAGGGGGACACGCTATAGTAAATGTTTAACAAAACATATTTATTTAACTCAAAATAAACCAAATTAAGACGTGCCAATGTAAAGGTGATAAAGTATGGGGTATGAACATAACGTTTCAGTTATGTCAGGGCAGATGACGATTGCATGGAAAATGTGTGTAACTACAACTAAAACAGCATGTCCAGAAATCGAGGCAAAGGTGGAACCTGTGGAGAGAAACAGAGGGAGGTTAGCAGGGAGGTGTGTGTCCTCAGCCCAGCAGCATCCTCCCTAAGAATGAAAATAAGGTGTTACAAATACTCTACAGGGCAATTTGTCAAATAGGACCTGGGATGTGCTGTATGATTGATGCAAACAAATCATTGGCACAAACATATAAATCAATAATAGGGGTACCACTGTTTATTGTGTTACATATGTAAACATTATTTTCCTGTAGATTGTTAGCCTATCTCTTTCCTTCCTTCTGTACTCCTCAAGTAGCTCAGGTTGCTGTAGAGCTTTTGTCTATGTTTCTACACCCTAGCTCTTGTTGAAACCTTCTTCTCTTCCACCACTGTAGGTTTTTATGTTAAAAAGAATGAAAGATGGGTGTTCCATAATGAATGCACTTTAGTTTAGCTAGCATAAAATGGCGTAAACACAATTAGCTAGCAAAAAATAATACACCATCACAACATTGCTGCTATGCTATGCTTTCTATTGTTATGTTCATAATGAAAATTTATTAGAGAAATATTAAATACTACAGTACTTTAACTATCAAATTTTAACAGATAATCTTACCTTTTTGCCATCTTCAATCTTCTCTGCTGTGTGGAATGGCCTTTGAATAAAACTTGATAAATATATACAGTTGTTTTGACAGGCAGGAAAATATGTTACTGTGATGAAATGTATGTGCACGGACACACTGTTTTAGCCAGAAATATAGATATTATGTTTTAAAAACTTAAAATTGCTAATGGCAGTTGTTATTTTATAGAGACATTATTTAAATGTTTTTAATATAATTAATACATTATTTATTGGGCTGTAAGAGGGCAAAAAAATTTGTTTGGACATGTAAAGGTAATGAAATTTCATATGAAAAAAATTTATATATAATACTTTTTAAAACTAATACTTGAAAACAATTAAGTGAACCTTATAGGGCTGACCCCTAATAGTCAAAGATTCAATGCTTCGATGGGCGGAGCCTGTTTTGACTGTCAATCTCACAGTCGAAGCTTCACAGCTAAACAAGGATCATGCCATTTTGGTGATATGGGGGTGCTCAACGTCTGATTTTACATAGAACTACCAGTTTCCTCCCACTAACTTACAATATACATTTCAACATTTAATGCTGTAAATAAACATGTAAAAAGAAAAAAAAAATTCAATAAATGTTTTTAAAGTGCGTGAATAAATCCAAAATTGTAACCCTAACCCTGCGTCGTCACTGCGCATGTGTAGGCGTAGCGTATACTGTATGTGTGTAGTGGCAGAAGAGGAACACCTGCTGAAGAGACGGAGCCCCAGCTTCACTGGCGGGACTTTCCAATAATTTATCAACATTCACACAAAGAATATTATATCGTTTTTAAATATCCGGCTACTTGAAATAGACCCGTAACGGAACCCCCTCGCCCCCATCAACTCACCTGCCCACCGCTGGCTTCACTAGAAACACAACTGACACCTGCTCAGGTGTTCAAGTCCTCCCTGATGGATGATTGTAGTCACGATTCACCATTTGCACAAACAAAAGCAATTGGGCCTGTGAGTATAGATTTATGCTTAGACAGTAATAACATTATGGTCAGGGATGTGCACAGACACTTTGGTGATAATAATAATGTGTTTATTTTTCACAAGGCAATAGATCGTTTTAATTCTTTTGCTTTTATTGGAATACATAACACTTCAAAATAAAATAAATCTTCACACTAAACTGTGGCGTTGGGCTGCAGGCATAAT